AAGCCATTGCCTGCACCAGGTTGCATTCTGGTTGCGCTGGGATGGGTATTGAGTTGTCCTAGTCTCCCTGTGGGACTTGGCAGATCAGGGGGGGTATGTCACAATGTGCTCTGCCACAGTCCCCTGATCGGCCTAGGACGATCCCCCGGTGGCGGGAGCCACCACACCATGTGATCACATGGTTGTATCAATTGCGGAGCAATCGGACTGGAGCAGAGCTCCGGCCACACTTCTTTTGTTCCATTGTTCCTGTGGCCAAGTGGCCCTTGTTCTCCTTTTGGACTGCTTTGTTCTTTTCTCTATTGTTCTGCCGTGGGAATGCTTTCCTCTGCTCATGTATATATAGAGCTCTGTAGTGACCCTTTAATATACACTTCTGTGACCCACTTCGACTTCAGCCCCACTTGTGGCATTCAGTCCTTCAGTGCTAGTCCTGTGCAACTGCTCCCTGCGTCGCCTTTTGATACATCATACGTCAGGGACTGCTGATGTGGGGGCAAGCGCTGTTGGCAAGGCGGGCCAAGCAGAATCCGCAGACTCGGACTCCGAGACTCCTTCTTTACTCGCACTCTCTTCAGACTCAGGCTCTGGTGCAGGGTCTGGAGGGATATTTCCTCACGTTTGACTTGGACCAGCGACTGGTTGAGGAAAACGGGAGCTGGGGGAGACAGGGCAAGAGTGCCACGAGGTAGATCAAGATGCGAGGATGCTTCGAAGACCGAGCGGATGTTGCGCTCTTCGGATTGCTTTGTAACATGGGAAATCCTGCTCGATTGATCAGGGGGTCCGATTGGGGCACAGCTGCTGCTCACAGATGATGATAATAGTCTCAGGGCCATCTGGGAGGTAGACGTCGACGAGGTCCTGAGAATCGAAGGCATGAACTTGGCCTTGACAGGCAGCCATGATGGATGGGGGAAGGACGGAGAGGTGCACGTACTACAAAGGCCATGCTATACTAGCTTACACCTACGGCACCCGAAGTAACACTAGGGTTCGCAATTCACATGGGGCCCAGTACTGCTTTTGACTAATATACAGCAGGAACCTAGTCCATGTGTCCGTAAGGACAAGCACTGCCCACTGAAGTGCAGGTGCTGAAAGGTTCATTCCCTGAGTGGTGGCGATGTATGTACGCTATCTATGTATCATAGTGTATAGTAGGGGTGCGCACCACCTGACCTGTAGGAAAGGAAAAATGAGTGTTTGGGTTCCGAGAGAACACCGGTAGCGGTGAGGAGTTTTGACCTAATGTTGTGACTTAGGGTCGAGCGACTGGGGAAACACAGACAGGGGACGCTGGGAGCATTCAACTGGGTCTTACCGAAGCGATGGCGAGCTGATGCTTAAACCTAAGGCTAGGGATAAGAAATGTATTAGTTGGTGAAGGTAAGTAAAAGATACAAGGAAGCTTACTGACCTAGGGACAAGAGGTCGAAACTGAGTTCCCTAGGGCAGCAGGGGCCGGCTTATATACAGGGAAAGATGAGGGCAGACTGTGCGCACTGGTCTGTGCACAGCATGCTAACACGGCCCCGGGGGCCGGTGAGTCAGAGTGGTTGTGTCAGCAGAGCCCAAGCTATGCCGCGCACTGCTGCCCCGTCTAATCTAATCGTACAGTAGATAAGGACTTGTCCGTTCGTATCAAAAGGCGACGCAGGGAGCAGTTGCACAGGACTAGCACTGAAGGACTGAATGCCACAAGTGGGGCTGAAGTCGAAGTGGGTCACAGAAGTGTATATTAAAGGGTCACTACAGAGCTCTATATATACATGAGCAGAGGAAAGCATTCCCACGGCAGAACAATAGAGAAAAGAACAAAGCAGTCCAAAAGGAGAACAAGGGCCACTTGGCCACAGGAACAATGGAACAAAAGAAGTGTGGCCGGAGCTCTGCTCCAGTCCGATTGCTCCGCAATTGATACAACCATGTGATCACATGGTGTGGTGGCTCCCGCCACCGGGGGATCGTCCTAGGCCGATCAGGGGACTGTGGCAGAGCACATTGTGACATACCCCCCCTGATCTGCCAAGTCCCACAGGGAGACTAGGACAACTCAATACCCATCCCAGCGCAACAGAATGCAACCTTGGGTGCAGGCAATGGCTTGGTGAGACAGTCTGCAAGCATGTCCGTAGTGGGGATGTAGGAGGGCTTGATGCGCCCAGCCTCCACAGTGTCTCTGAGCCAGAAAGTGCGCAGGTCGAGGTGCTTCATGCGCCCATGGTGCTCAGGATTCTTGGACACATTGATGCTCGACTGGTTGTCCATCTGCAGGGGTGAGGGAGTGTCCACTGTGTAGCCAAACTCAGCCATGAGATTGCGCATCCAGAGTATCTTCTTGCCTGCATCCACTGCAGCAACATACTCAGCCTCTGTAG